GTATTGCGGGTTATGGTCGAGCCAGGAGGCATCGTTCGAAACGATGGACCACGCCCCGGCTCTCTGCCATCTCCGCTTCGACGACTCTCGAAGCACGATCGATCCTTTCCTCGCAACAACCTGGCAAAAATTACTACAGCAAAAGTCGAGCACGAAACGGGACAGCCGAATACGCCCCTGGAGCGAACGAACGAGCGAAACGAGCGAGCCGAGTTTCAAACTCGAAATGTGCATCACCGGTTACGATTATTTCGCGTAATCCCCAGGCCTCTGCCAACATCCATTTCAGATTACTGATTGTGAGTACGTTCCCCACATTACCATCATCCCGTATGCTCGAATTCGATGTTCTCAATGTCGTCTATGGCTTATTTTTAAAACTTTTCATATTCTATTTATTTCTTTTTTTCCTTCCATTATCTTTATCGTAAATAATATTTTCTTATCATTCAAGTAATTACTAACTTTCAGAATATGTTATCTAATACAATGGTTCATCGGCATTTCCGATAATAATAATAATAATTCCCATTCCCTCGTTCGATTCAAATGTGTACTGGCCAAACTTGTTATCAGTTTTCAGAAAATTACTGAAATAGTTTGTTTTTTTTAACGCAATAGTTATTCCCACTACGTTTTCATGAACTTATCCCAAGTCCAATCTTCTTACTTAAACCATTAAAATTTTGATATTTTTGCAAAGATCGAACCTGGCCGGAATTAACTTTTTCTCTCTCTCTCTCTTTCTCCCTCTTGTTATCTATCTATCTGTATCTCTATCTCTCTCTCCCTCTTCAACTCCGGTCAATCGATTCCGTCTACCCTACGGTTTGACAACCTCGACGCTTCTCTCCGCACTTCCACCCTCGCGACACGCAGACAGGGTAAAAGAGAGAGAGAAAGAGAGAGAGAGAGAGATAGAGAGATACGTGTGTCTACCACATACGGGTTCTATCGCTTCCCGTTTTAACCATTGCCAGGAAGAATGCAATTTTCCGTCATCGAACGACGTACTGCTGGCAGTTTTACCATCCGTTTCATTATTCCTCTTTTACCCTGGAAACATGTTTATGTGCTTTCATTTGACTTGATTTGATTTTTATCCACAAAAATGTCTTATACCTACCTACCAACCCTGCCCTTACATTTCTTCTAAAACTATTCACATTTTTGTATTTGAATTTGTTTTTCTTTCCCTATAATCCTCGTATTCATATTTATTCTCTCCCTTTTTTTTTCTTTTTTTAATATTTTAAAGTTATGCTCAGTTCAGAAAGGATAAGAAGGAACAAGAGAGAGAGAGCAGCCTTCATTCGTCTAGTACGAAATTTCGATTCTCTTCGTTATGTCCTTTGTCCTATTGTTAATTTCTGAATAAGTAGTTCCCACCTTGTCAGTTTTCATGGCAGGTTCTGGATGCATTCTCTCTCTTTCTCTCTCTCTTTCTCGCTCCCTCTCTTTTTCTCTTTCCCTTGCTTTGTCCTTCGGCCGATTGGGAGCAGAACCGCTCGTCAGCCCCCTTTCCGCTAGAGTTGCTACGAGGAGCTCTCTGCCCTCTTTAGGCCTCCCATTTCTCCTCGACAGTGCGACGATATCGAGGCACTTCTCTCTTCCTCGAGTTGCCGCAATTACGTGGTCCTAGATGTCTTCTTCCCTCTGACCCACAACTCCTTTTCCTTTTCTTTTCTTTTCTTTTCTATTCTATTCTATTCTCTGTTCTATTCTATTCTTTGCTATTATTCTCGTCTCTTTTCTTTTTTGTTTTTCTTCTCTTTAGAGTCTCTTCGAAATTTAACAATGAAATTTAACAAAGATAATACTTCCCATCTATCGTAATGTTTTCTTTTTCATTATATTCGCATATTTTTCGTTTTACGTTATCATAATATTTATTTATTAATGATGATGATGATGATGATGATGATTATGATGATGGAAATACTTTAATTACATTTTATTTTCTTATTATTCTAGTCAAGTTTTCTACAATATTAAGGTTCATCTGTCCGACAATTCCTTTTCAATTTCATCATTTTCTTAAGTTCGTTTCCGCGTTGAGACCGAGAGACTCGGATTCGCGGAATAAGATGATATATAATTTAAAACGCCATCTGCGCGCCTCTCTTCTCCACCCTGACGATAGAATCTCTCACAAAATTAGAATCTTTTTTAAGGTCGGTAAGCTAATTACCATTCCGTTGCCAGCTCTTGATTATAGTTTCGAAATGTTTCGGGATCGACTCTCCTCGAGCACTCTGAAGGTAATTGCCAAAATCATGATTGCGTTTATACGAATTGTACGTCTTCTTCTGTTTTTCGAAAAGGGCCGTGGAAATTTCGATGATAGAGGGTCGAAGCTAGCCAACCAATTACTGTGCTGTATAAAGGAAAAAAAAATAATAAAAAAATAAAAAATAAAAAATAAAATAAAATAAAATAAAATAAAATTAAATTAAATAAAATAAAATAAAATAAAATAAAATGAACATACCTAACGCAGTTAAGATAATGTACAAGTCTCTAGTGTGATACATTTCTACGCTTATTCTCTAACTGTAGTCGTGAAGTCTAAAGTACGATACCTCGTTATGGTTTGTAACACGGAGAAGTAGTCCTGTAATAACTAAATAATAATAACAATAATTATAATAATAATAATAATAATAATAACAATAATATTAATAATATTAATAATATTGATAATATTAATAATAATATAAAAATAAATAAAACATAATAA